ATCAAACTGAAATAAATACAAATTTACAATATAACTGTGTAAAAACTATTACAGATGTCAAAACGTGGGTTCAGTCATGTAATACCATTTTGTGAAAGATAATACCATTTTGAAAGATGTTTCTGCTGTGAAGTATGTCTGAGCCATAGAGCGCCACAGAAGGCTGGTTTTCTCCCTTGTCCTGCCAAAATCCCTTTGTAGTTTATGTGGAAATGTTGACAATGTTTTTTGTGAATTTTCTCTACGCTGTAGGATGCTGCAACCAAAAGACGTAGCACACCATTTCCCATTGAGCCGCAGGAGTATCAGCAAATAAAAAAGTGACAAAACCAGAAGAATAACACTTGAATAGTAATGAGTGCTTGTCAAAAGGCTTCTCTTACTAGGTGGTCCAGTTCTACCAAAATGACAGCTCAATTTTCTTCAAAAAACTAAGAAGTATAAAAGGAGCCCCGGAACAGTTTTTTTAGGCTGATATGAATATGAAAAGCACCCCTCTAGGCTTTGTCAGTGAGACAAAGAACATGGCTGTGAAGCTGGGAGACGAGCCCTCAATCTGGCTAAACTCTCTGTCCAGGACTTCTTCTGTTAATTTCCCCTCAGTGGAAAGGAACTCCCTCCCTGTCAGGGACTTTTCTCACCTCAGGTCTGACTGCCTGGGTTTGAGCCAGACATCTTTCAGTGAATCTCTGGGATATACATCATTGACCACCCCTGGATAAATTTTGGTCAAACGGCCATCTTTATACAGATTACTTTTTTTTTTTTACTAAAATCTGCCCCCTGGTTCATGGGATATTTTGTTACAAGTCAGATGGTGATGACTTAATGGTAAATCGTGAAAGAGTAGAGCTCAGAGCATACGTTGTGAATTACTCTCGGCTTTAGCAACACCTGATTTTAGCTCAACGCCTGTAAAAATTGAGTTGGAGCCATTTTTGTGTTAGATGATGTCCATTAGCCGAGTGTCCATCTTGGAATACATCGATGTTAAAAGCTAAGCAGTTGTGGATGTATATTCAATGACTTCTTTCTGAGCTTCATTAAAATATGTTCAGTGGTTTATGAGATGTTTTGCTAACAGAGAGACAGCTGATGCCAAAGTTAATGGCAGTCTTAAAAACAGAAGCACGATCAGTTAGCACAGGTGTTGGCCATTCCACTAAGCTACCAGCCTAGTGCGCCATATTCCTAACAGCCAGACACACTAACAGATATGGGCAAAACATTACCTCCTCTTGGTTTTGGCGGCAGGCGATCAAAAGCATTTCCTAAAATAGATATCTATATTGTTTACAAACAGTGCTCATTTAAACGTGCATATACATCAACAGAAGCGCACAAAGAAGACTACACCTTGACCTCATTACGTGAATAGGCCCAGCCCAGAGGAACAAATGTTTGGTGCGATGCCGCTGTTCAACGAGCTGAGGGTCACTGTCTATCCCATATGGCAACGGCTGGGATGTGGCCTCCTGGGAACGCAGGCGTTCTGCAGAGCAGAGCTGCACAACGGCCTGCTTACAAAAACACTGCAAGTCCTAACACGCAGCCCATTCCAGGAGAAGAACGACAACAATCTGGTGGAAACACACACACACCAACACACACCTTCAAAGTGGAGAACTCAAGCCCAGTGGATAATGTAGCATAAAGCCATGAAAACATCTGTACAGTAAACAGGATGTGAACAACCGACTGTGATCTTTGCACACAAGGCTCTAAACAGCACAGACTTTCTAAATGAGTGTCCAAGTTAAAAACAAGTCAAAAACACATTGAATTGTTTTGTTTCATACTCAAGAGGAAGTTACTATTAAAGTTACAGCTAAGATTTAAAAACTCGTGACAAAAATCTCCTCTGACAGGATTACAAGCAAACACTTTCCAACAATAGATGGTGAACAGGTCACAACTAGATTCTGTGAAAATGAAGCACACACACACACACTAACATCAAAGCCTTAGCCTGTACTACTTTAGCAATCCACTGTAATACCCACAGACGTATCAACAATTTCATTAAGCAGACTAAATCAAATGTCACACACACACACACACACAGCAGCAGCAGCAATCCCTCCTTCCCTTGGGGTCAGTGCCCTTCAGAGTCTCACAGTCCGTCCAACACGCTCAGGTGTTCACAGGCAACGTGCAGGAAATGAATTACCTGCATGGCCTAGCCAATTATTTCCCAGAGTTCTTGTTGCCAAACGGTGATTGCTCAAGATAGAACAGATGACACAATGGGCCACTTCAGGTCTACGACTGAAACACAGAGCCAGCCTTGACTGCTTGACATTTCTGAATTGGATTTGCCATTTAGAGCGGTTTGGTGTAATTGCAGGCAGCACATTTTGTAGCATGCAGTCTGTAACACAGGGAGGCAGATGAAGGTGGCTGGCACCAGAACACTGGGGTGAGACTAGGGGTGTAAGAAAATATCGATACACTGAAATATCGCGATATTTCATTTCCCGATACTGTATCGATATTCTAAAGCCCTGTATCGATTTTTTTATTAAGTTTTAAAATGTCAACTTTCCTGCCAGCCGTTCATTTTATGTTGTAGTTCAGCCTCTGATCACTAGTTGGCAGCAGTGAGCCAGCCATTTGGCTACTCTACCTGTTGAGGAAGAGGCTATTGTTAAGTGTTGGGTGACCATATTGTAAATTAATATTAAAAACTAAAAGCTGCAAAAAATACATTTTCAAACTATTTATTGTCAGATTTAGTCTAATAATTGAAAACATGGATGAAATAAGTAATATGAAACAAATAAAATAAAACATACAAAGCAGAACACAGCTAAATGTATCAAAAGTATGTCTATGTAATATTAGAATTTTCTGAGACAATGAATTTTGGTTTTTCATTTTTTTTCCTGTAAGAGGTTTTTATTTAATAGAATTTTTGGACAAAAAAAATCGCAATATATCGCCTTGTTTACAGTATCACAATATATCGGGATATATCATATCGTGACCCCTCTGTCATGATATGTATCGTATCGCCAATTTCTTGCCAATACACAGCCCTAGGTGAGACAATATTAGGTTTTGAGTGGCAGGTTTACTGGTAACTTCAGCCTGACTAGGGGTTTTATTTGAACATGTTAAGCAGCTATGGGCATGCAGACTAACCAACGGTCCTAGTTTTACATACAGAAAAGTGTCATATACACATCAAAATCAAAGCAACACATCCATTCATCTTCTGCTACTTATCCAAGGCCAGAAGCAGAGATCCCACAGACCTTCCTCTCCAACAGTTACCACCTCCAGCTCTTCCATTGGGGTGCAAGACCAAGGTAAGCTGAGGGATATGATCTCTTCAGGGTCTGCTCCGAGGTCTCCTTTAAGTGGGACATGTCTGAAACATATCTCTTCGAAAACATCTGAATGGCTTCCAAAGCAGAGGTCCAAAATCCACCTTCACTGTCAGCGTGAAGGAGCACTGCCTCCAAGTTCCTACTGGAGAGACTCATTTGTCGTTTCTGTACAGGTGAGTCCACTTTTAGCTGCTTGTGTTTGTGATCTCATCCTGTCAGGCATTACCCAAAGCTCATGATTAAGGCTGACACAAACAATTATTTTTATAGTCGACTAATAACCGATTATTTTATTTCGATTAGTCGACTAATCAGATCACACGTTAATTGAATATAAAAACATACAGCTTATCGTGCCAGAATGCAGCTGCTATTATATAACCATGGTTAGATTTTTAGCTATATGCTAACTAAAAATAATTGCTGTGGATGGCAAGTTCTGCCTTGCAGATATTGCACAGGTTTCTCTTTCGTTTTCCTAAAATGATCCCACACTTTTGAGCTCGGTTGCCAGGTAGCCATGATACCAGAGCCTGTCTGTATAATGTCGTGACGTCCACGGTAAGGACAGAAAGGCAGATGTGGCAGTGGAAAGTGTCAAAGCAATCTGGAGAGAAAAACAAAGTTTTTTTTTTTCAAAAACGACCAATCGACTATTAAATTAGTCGTTGACTAGTCGACTAATCATGGCAGCCCTACTCATGATGATAGGCGAGGGTTGGTACATAAATCAATTGATGAATCAAGTTTTACCTTTCAGATCAACTTCCCCATTAGCAAAGTAAAAATGTCATACACCTACTCCAGTTTCAGCAAACATGATCCAAATTCCAAGGCCTCAACCTACAACTGTCACCCAACCCACAGTGCACAGGTCCCTCCTGCAGGCAGTGGGTCCACAGGAGGGCGGACCCCTGTTCGCTCCTGTTTCAGTTTTAGTAACAAGAACAAACAAAAAGTCCATATAAGCTTATAAATGAGATAACATCTGGAGGACAGCATAATACTCCACGCTTATCACATCTGTTCCATTTCCGGCTCTTCTTTAATACCACCAACTCCACAAAGTTATGAGTCTGGTACATTAGTATCGGCTGATATTTGTGAACCAGACTCAAACCCTTAATATCATCTACATAAAAAGAAAAGGACCCCTCTTCTGTCAGTCAGGTGTCCAAAGGCTGCCTGATGAACATAATGTTGACAGATGATTCAGTGATCGACCAGCAGTGACGGATAGAAACCTCAACAGATTGCAATCTTTGCACAGCATGAGATGTGCAAAACCCCATAAGATGACTTGCCATTGTAACCACGGCTAAAGATGAAGTTCCCACCAACACATCTGAGGATTTTACCCCTCGTCAAACCACACCAGGTCTATGCAACCAGACACTGAGTGCGTTTGGTTTCATGTTCTTAGTGTTAATAAAATGATAGAGGAACACAGAAGCTGTGAGCTAACAAAGAAACATGCCTCTGCTCCTGAACTGCACGGCTTCATGTTGGGTTTGTTTGGCAAACAGAGCCTTGTTTGACAGAGAGCATATCTGAAGTGCTTTAAATCCCAGCAGTGATTAGATCAGGTTTGACAGGAACAGTCCTGGTGTTTCTGATTTGTTTGTATTTATTGAAGCAATCGGCGTCCCTCTCTTCCCAGAGCCCTACCTGAGCAGGCTGGAGAGCGGGTGAGAGGAGGCGCCGTGGCCGCCGCTGTTGCCGCCTCCAGCGGTCCCAGACAAGCCGCCGGTGGACTGTCGCTTCCCGGACAAAAGCTTCTCCACCGCGGCCAGGTTCCCGGTGCGCGCCGCGTCAAGAAGCTCCTGCTCCTTCCCCATCGTTAATCCCAAAAGAAATGATAGATTTTCAGAAGAGGAGGTGAGGGGGGGAAGAAGGGGAAAGGGGGGTTGGTTGTGGGGAGTGAAATTCCTCTGCGACCCGCTTCTTCTCCCTCCTCCCAGCTTCAGGTTATTCCAGAGCTGCTAATGTAGCAGGAAACAAAAGCTCCCTCCGCCGCTGGACCAGTCCGTCCTGATCCACGCTGATACTCACGAGGAGGAGGGTGGGGGCAAAGTTTCGTTCAGCAGCACAGCACCATTGTCGAGTAAACTTCCTCTGGCCACTCTTCCGACCGTCGTCCGTCACTTCCTCGAAACTGCCCTTTCTTTCTTCATTTCCAATGAAACCCTTCAGACACACAAGCGAATACACCCCCCAACCACCGCCGCCCCGAGCTGATTCACAAACAAGCTGGATGCGCATAAACAAAGATGGCGCCGGTTCAGAAAGGCACGATTACTCCCATCCAGTGTTTTACAGATCTGTTCCTGTGTCACTTCTCGGGTTGACCGAAAACTAAACAATGAGGAATATTAGTATTTTTATTTACTTAGATAACGTGCTGACGATAGTTTATATGTGATTTTTTTTATTACATTGATCATTATTTATAACAGTGAATGGATTGTGACCCACCACTAACACCTGACGGGTCGGGGTTTTGTCACCTGGGTAAAGTCCACAAATGTGGGTGTGAACAGGAACGTCTCACCCAGTCTGTCACAAACTAGTTTAAAGGTAATCCAAACTGTAATGTTTAAAATGTTTTTTTTTATTAACTTCTGTGATTCTGTGAATAAATAAGTGTGTTCTCACA